TCGTGTTACGTTTTCACCGGATTAAGTTTGAAGCATGTTAAAAGTTTTAGTTCGCCTGCTTGGCACCGATGTTGAACTTCGCTAAGGGCCGTCGCGCGTTCTCCGTTTTCTCGTTGTGCCTGCTGATCCTTTAGGAATCGCACGCTTGGGACAAGTTTCCGCGGCAAATTTGTTAATATTGCAGACTCGCCGCGCGTGAGAGCATCGAGTTTGTGACACAGAAAGTCGCTGCTCCTTCCGCCGACACGGCGCCTAGCTTCATAAACGGCGAGATGGCCCGTTGTAAAAATTAAAAACTTGGCGATGTGTTCGACAGAGAAAAAGAAACGACCGACAAGTTTTACGCCAAGCTGCATAAAGTTCGTCATGCCTCCACAAACTTTCAATTGAATTAACTTAACAGAACGTCACGCTACCGCCGTCGAAGCGCGGCGAAGTGATAACCTGAACACGCTGACGCAATGTAATCGATTTTGGAAACATCGTCCCACTCCTCTGATTCTAGGATAACGATTTCTTTACAACTTTGATAACGAAACTTCGTATATATATCTCGATTTAGCACGGTTTATAGTACAATTTTTTAGTGAAATTTTTTAGGTAAAATAGTGATTTTTTAATATTTTTTTCTTACTTTTATACGCACAGCATTATGAATCTCTTTATAGCTCTAGTTATAGCAGACGTTTAGTGTAATACAGCACAATTTTGGATATACTACTTTAGACGCATTAGTTTCTCGGGCATTTGTACTTTTCTCCTCCATGTCTCTTTAAACACTTAAGATAACAATTGCATATCTAAACAAGAAATTAGACGCCTGGCGGAAATCTCACTGCGGTCATTCTCAGTGCAGCTTACGAATTAAACCCTCAGCTACGCCACTCCTACGTTTATTATACTGTTATGTTTCCACGCAATTAAAACGACCCAGCGGACGAAGTGAAGACGTTTCTAATTACCGTGTCTCGAGTTTAGATTGCCTTCTTTTTATCCGTTATTCTTTAAGCTTTTCATAAAGACTTTTTGGATAAAAAAGTATAAAGCCAAAAATAAAATTAACGTGCAAAATTGTAATATAACAGTAGAAATGAAATGTGCGAGCCTTTCCAACGATGAAATAGTTGAAATGTATTATTAGGAATAAATTAAGCTTCCATTACTTTCGATTCAATGTAATATTGATTCGTATAATTTAGACGTGATTCGATCTATTGGCTCAATCGTCAAATGACGTGTCCGTCCGAGTCTGAACTGATTTCGTAAAGGTACGCAATGAAGAGGCGGTAGTAAATCTACCTCGCCCTCGTCTGATCTAGCATTCGAGTCTGCAGGATAGGATGGATGCTTAATTCATCGATTTCCGTTCGGAGATCGGCAATGGTCGGCATCCGCCCAGGTTTCTCGACCCAATCTTCTGTCGGAGCAGAAGGAACGTTAGTAAAGGCTCACTTCTCTTCGTTTTCGTTGCAAACCACTTTCCACGGCTGAGGCGTCTATTACATCTTTCCTTTGATTCCTGATCTCTCTCTGGTATCCCGGAATTTTTCTCAATCGGCAGATAATTTGTAATTATTTCGAGAGCAAAACAATTAACAGAAAAATAGCTATCGCAATAATTTCGTAACAAAAAAAAAACTATTCGCATTCTATAGAGTTGAAATTTAACTCTGCCGTTAAAATCGATAAAGTTTTGTTCGCGTACACGTTCGTAAATAACTCGCGGAGAATCTAATTTTATCTTAGAAAGAAAGAAGCAGAAAAGAATTTGAATTTTATTGTTAGAAATTTCTATAATGTTCTCAATATGTTTTCATAGAAGTTTAAATATTGAAAGAAAAAAAAGATGCGTTTATTTAA